ATCAGACCAGCAAACCCCATCAGACCAGCATACCCCGTCAGACCAGCATACCCCATCAGACCAGCAAACCCCATCAGACCAGCATACCCCTTCAGACCAGCATACCCCGTCAGACCAGCAAACCCCATCAGACCAGCATACCCCTTCAGACCAGCATACCCCTTCAGACCAGCAAACCCCATCAGACCAGCATACCCCATCAGACCAGCATACCCCTTCAGACCAGCATACCCCGTCAGACCAGCAAACCCCATCAGACCAGCATACCCCTTCAGACCAGCAAACCCCATCAGACCAGCAAACCCCATCAGACCAGCATACCCCGTCAGACCAGCATACCCCCTCAGACCAGCAAACCCCATCAGACCAGCATACCCCATCAGACCAGCATACCCCCTCAGACCAGCATACCCCTTCAGACCAGCATACCCCTTCAGACCAGCAAACCCCATCAGACCAGCATACCCCATCAGACCAGCATACCCCTTCAGACCAGCATACCCCGTCAGACCAGCAAACCCCATCAGACCAGCATACCCCTTCAGACCAGCAAACCCCATCAGACCAGCAAACCCCATCAGACCAGCATACCCCGTCAGACCAGCATACCCCCTCAGACCAGCAAACCCCATCAGACCAGCATACCCCGTCAGACCAGCATACCCCCTCAGACCAGCATACCCCCTCAGACCAGCATACCCCGTCAGACCAGCATACCCCATCAGACCAGCAAACCCCATCAGACCAGCATACCCCGTCAGACCAGCATACCCCGTCAGACCAGCATACCCCGTCAGACCAGCAAACCCCATCAGACCAGCATACCCCGTCAGACCAGCATACCCCTTCAGACCAGCATACCCCGTCAGACCAGCAAACCCCATCAGACCAGCATACCCCTTCAGACCAGCATACCCCTTCAGACCAGCATACCCCCTCAGACCAGCATACCCCTTCAGACCAGCATACCCCCTCAGACCAGCATACCCCCTCAGACCAGCATACCCCGTCAGACCAGCATACCCCCTCAGACCAGCATACCCCATCAGACCAGCATACCCCATCAGACCAGCATACCCCTTCAGACCAGCATACCCCTTCAGACCAGCATACCCCCTCAGACCAGCATACCCCGTCAGACCAGCATACCCCTTCAGACCAGCATACCCCCTCAGACCAGCATACCCCGTCAGACCAGCATACCCCCTCAGACTAGCATACCCCGTCAGACCAGCATACCCCGTCAGACCAGCAAACCCCGTCAGACCAGCATACCCCCTCAGACCAGCATACCCCGTCAGACCAGCATACCCCGTCAGATCAGCATACCCCGTCAGATCAGCATACCCCGTCAGATCAGCATACCCCGTCAGACCAGCATACCCCGTCAGATCAGCATACCCCGTCAGACCAGCATACCCCGTCAGATCAGCATACCCCGTCAGACCAGCATACCCCGTCAGACCAGCATACCCCCTCAGATCAGCATACCCCGTCAGACCAGCATACCCCCTCAGACCAGCATACCCCCTCAGACCAGCATACCCCGTCAGACCAGCATACCCCGTCAGACCAGCATACCCCCTCAGACCAGCATACCCCCTCAGACCAGCATACCCCGTCAGATCAGCATACCCCGTCAGACCAGCATACCCCTTCAGACCAGCAAACCCCGCCAGACCAGCATACCCCCTCAGACCAGCATACCCCGTCAGATCAGCATACCCCGTCAGATCAGCATACCCCGTCAGATCAGCATACCCCGTCAGACCAGCATACCCCGTCAGACCAGCAAACCCCGTCAGACCAGCATACCCCCTCAGACCAGCATACCCCGTCAGACCAGCATACCCCTCAGACCAGCATACCCCGTCAGACCAGCATACCCCATCAGACCAGCATACCCCGTCAGACCAGCATACCCCATCAGACCAGCAAACCCCATCAGACCAGCAAACCCCATCAGACCAGCATACCCCTTCAGACCAGCATACCCCGTCAGACCAGCAAACCCCATCAGACCAGCATACCCCGTCAGACCAGCATACCCCTTCAGACCAGCATACCCCTTCAGACCAGCATACCCCGTCAGACCAGCATACCCCTTCAGACCAGCATACCCCCTCAGACCAGCATACCCCCTCAGACCAGCATACCCCGTCAGACCAGCATACCCCCTCAGACAAGCATACCCCGTCAGACCAGCATACCCCATCAGACCAGCAAACCCCGTCAGACCAGCATACCCCCTCAGACCAGCATACCCCGTCAGATCAGCATACCCCGTCAGATCAGCATACCCCGTCAGATCAGCATACCCCGTCAGATCAGCATACCCCGTCAGACCAGCATACCCCGTCAGACCAGCATACCCCGTCAGATCAGCATACCCCGTCAGACCAGCATACCCCGTCAGACCAGCATACCCCCTCAGATCAGCATACCCCGTCAGATCAGCATACCCCCTCAGACCAGCATACCCCGTCAGACCAGCATACCCCGTCAGACCAGCATACCCCCTCAGACCAGCATACCCCGTCAGATCAGCATACCCCCTCAGACCAGCATACCCCGTCAGATCAGCATACCCCGTCAGATCAGCATACCCCCTCAGACCAGCATACCCCCTCAGACCAGCATACCCCCTCAGACCAGCATACCCCGTCAGATCAGCATACCCCGTCAGATCAGCATACCCCGTCAGATCAGCATACCCCGTCAGATCAGCATACCCCGTCAGACCAGCAAACCCCGTCAGACCAGCATACCCCCTCAGACCAGCATACCCCGTCAGACCAGCATACCCCGTCAGACCAGCATACCCCGTCAGACCAGCATACCCCCTCAGACCAGCATACCCCCTCAGATCAGCATACCCCGTCAGACCAGCATACCCCCTCAGACCAGCATACCCCGTCAGATCAGCATACCCCCTCAGACCAGCATACCCCGTCAGATCAGCATACCCCGTCAGATCAGCATACCCCCTCAGACCAGCATACCCCCTCAGACCAGCATACCCCCTCAGACCAGCATACCCCGTCAGATCAGCATACCCCGTCAGATCAGCATACCCCGTCAGACCAGCATACCCCGTCAGACCAGCATACCCCGTCAGACCAGCATACCCCGTCAGACCAGCATACCCCGTCAGACCAGCATACCCCGTCAGACCAGCATACCCCCTCAGACCAGCAAACCCCCTCAGACCAGCATACCCCGTCAGACCAGCATACCCCGTCAGACCAGCATACCCCATCAGACCAGCATACCCCCTCAGACCAGCATACCCCCTCAGACCAGCAAACCCCCTCAGACCAGCATACCCCGTCAGACCAGCATACCCCGTCAGACCAGCATACCTCGTCAGACCAGCATACCCCCTCAGATCAGCATACCCCGTCAGATCAGCATACCCCCTCAGACCAGCATACCCCGTCAGATCAGCATACCCCGTCAGACCAGCATACCCCCTCAGATCAGCATACCCCGTCAGATCAGCATACCCCCTCAGACCAGCATACCCCGTCAGATCAGCATACCCCGTCAGACCAGCATACCCCGTCAGACCAGCATACCCCCTCAGACCAGCATACCCCGTCAGATCAGCATACCCCCTCAGACCAGCATACCCCGTCAGATCAGCATACCCCGTCAGATCAGCATACCCCCTCAGACCAGCATACCCCGTCAGATCAGCATACCCCGTCAGATCAGCATACCCCGTCAGATCAGCATACCCCGTCAGATCAGCATACCCCGTCAGACCAGCAAACCCCGTCAGACCAGCATACCCCCTCAGACCAGCATACCCCGTCAGACCAGCATACCCCGTCAGACCAGCATACCCCGTCAGACCAGCATACCCCCTCAGACCAGCATACCCCCTCAGATCAGCATACCCCGTCAGACCAGCATACCCCCTCAGACCAGCATACCCCGTCAGATCAGCATACCCCCTCAGACCAGCATACCCCGTCAGATCAGCATACCCCGTCAGATCAGCATACCCCCTCAGACCAGCATACCCCATCAGACCAGCATACCCCCTCAGACCAGCATACCCCGTCAGACCAGCATACCCCGTCAGACCAGCATACCCCGTCAGACCAGCAAACCCCGTCAGACCAGCATACCCCCTCAGACCAGCATACCCCGTCAGACCAGCATACCCCGTCAGACCAGCATACCCCGTCAGACCAGCATACCCCCTCAGACCAGCATACCCCCTCAGACCAGCAAACCCCCTCAGACCAGCATACCCCGTCAGACCAGCATACCCCGTCAGACCAGCATACCCCATCAGACCAGCATACCCCCTCAGACCAGCATACCCCGTCAGACCAGCATACCCCATCAGACCAGCATACCCCCTCAGACCAGCATACCCCCTCAGACCAGCAAACCCCCTCAGACCAGCATACCCCTTCAGACCAGCATACCCCGTCAGACCAGCATACCCCTTCAGACCAGCATACCCCCTCAGACCAGCAAACCCCCTCAGACCAGCATACCCCTTCAGACCAGCATACCCCTTCAGACCAGCATACCCCGTCAGACCAGCATACCTATAGTTAATACTGTTTATCCCTTTAGTCGTGTACAAAAAAACAATTTAAGGTCAGATCGCCATAGGAACTGATTAAATAGTTTTTATACATGACTAAAGGGGAACTCGCCCGCTGAGGTGGTTTAAACTCAATTTTCCGTAAAAGGTTAAAGGTTAAACTGAAGGTATTGACTCTGGGTATGCTGCTCTGACAGAACGCTGGGATTTTTTTCTCTCTCTTAGAAATAAAATCATTGATTTAAAAACCGCCTTTCAGGCATTTTTCTGCTGGATGATCTGAAACGGCAGCAAAGGAAATGAGGAAGAGAATAAAGACGAGTGTTCCTCTCCCAGTGAGGCGGCAGGATCATGAACGCTTCTGGTTTCTGGGTCAGCTTCCTGGAACATGATTCATATTCAGCTGAAGGAGGAATTGGCGTCGCGTGAAGAGGAGGCTGAAGGTTTTATCAGGTGTTATCAGCGTGGCCGCTCTGCACAGGTATAAAGGTGAGAACTGAGGGGTGGACCTTCCAAATAAGGATGGAGGGACTCCAGGTGCTGCTTCTGTTCGTCATGTTTCTGAGCGCCACACAGGTAAGAACCTGATGTTTGAGTCCAGAACAGGTGGCTGAGATCTGGAAAAACAAAGCAGATCTCATTTGTTTTGAAGCTTAAGTATCAGAACATTCAAATTGAGTGATAGGAGAGATTTACATGGTCTGAGGGCAGAACCAGAGCCGCTTCAGCACTCTGAGCTTTCAGCTTCTATGGCTTTTAGTTCTCACTGATTATCTGTTCGTTGACCTTCTAGAGTCTGGGGTCTTACTGGGTTAGACAGAAAAAACCTGTTTCATTTGAATGGGAGGTGTTAGTTCTCAGCTCAGGTTCTACAGGTCTACCTAAACAGGTCAGGTCCGGTCCGGTCCGGTCCGGTTCGGTACGGTCAGAGGGAGCAGAGGATCAGAGGAAGCTGACCTCCAGGTTGGGGGGGCAAACGGCTCCTCTGATAGATGAAACCTGAAGGTTCTGCTTCAAGCTGGGACCTGAAGCTGTTCAGATTAGAGGGAAGCTGTTAACAGATTACAGATTAGAACATGAATGCATGAGGAAACCATGAGGCTGCAGGTTTGGAGGGAATTCTGGGATTAAAATAAAGACGTCCTCAGGAGATAAACAAAGAGATCTAGTTTGGGGGAGTGTTGACTTAGAGCAGAGCGCTCTGAGAAAGGTTCAAGTTCCCGGTTCAATCCCCACAGACGGCACTCTGGGTCCCTGAGCAAGGGTCTGACTGCAGTCTGGACCTTTAACCCCAGACTGCTGCCCGGGGGGGTTAAATGCAGAGGGTTGGAGAATAAAGCGTTTTATATTTTACATTATTTATTGATTGATTGACTTTATTGATCTCACAGTGAGGAAATTTACTCTAAAGTATTTCCATGTAGAGCTGCTGGGGCCAGACCAGTGTTGAAGGTCTGTGGAGGGTGAGGGTTGGGGGGCGGGACCTTACAACCTGCAGGCCCCTGAGGGCCCCTCTATGGTTATCTATCTGAGAACATGAGAACAACTAAAGGCGAAATCAAAAAGATTCTGACGCAGATTTATCACGATACACGATGACGTCTGCAGGAAACTCCGCGCCGCATGCAAAGTCCTCCTAACGTGTTCATATCTGCTGAACAGCTGCTGCTCCTCATTTGCCTTTGGGACTGAAAGATATTCACAGCAGAAGAAACAACTTCTGTTTAGTTTATTTCTATGCTCCAATTATACATCAAGTCAATTTATAGATCCAGATCAATCAGATCCTCTGACTTTACAGGATTCTCTCCTCCTGGATGAGCCGTCAGAGACTCTTCAGCAATCCCTCACACTAAGCATGCTTGTAGCGACAGTGGAGAGGAAAAACTCCCTTTTAACAGGAAGAAACCTCCAGCAGAACCAGGCTCAGTGTGAGCGGCCATCTGCTGAGGCCCACTGGGGTTCAAGGAGACAGGGGAGCCTGAGAACTAAAAGATCTGCCTCCCATTCTACTTTTAGAGGTTCTAGGAACCACTAGTAAACCTGCAGCTCTGTTAGGAACATAAGGACCAATCAGATCTCTGAGATCAGATGGAGGAAACTGTCTTTGAAGGGAATCCAGGAAGTAAAGTGGGATCATCTCCTTCATTCTAATGTTTCTCTGATTCCTGTCAGGCCTTCATCATCCTCATCATCATCCTCTCCTCTCTTCTGCAGGGGCAGAGCACCTCCTCCTCTGTGACGCTGTCGACCATGAACCTGACCAGCGCTGCAGCTAATGGAAGCAGCCAGTCGACAGCAGCCCCCCCGCAGGGTAACCCGTCCCCCGCTCCATCAAACACCTCCAGCAGCAGCTCTCTGAGCTCCATCAGTCCTCCTCCTGCCTCCTCCAACCATCCGTCCATCACCGTCTCCTCTCACTCGGACGCCCCCTCCTCTGCGGTGACTCAGACCTCCACAGCTACCACCCAGAGCAGCGCTGCAACCCCCCCGGCCCCCAGCCCGACCACCGGAGGATCTGTCTGTGTGTCTGGAGGCTGCAGGGTGACCCTGCTGCTGCTGGCTGCTTCCTGCATCCTGATGCAGCGTAGCCACGCCTGAACCCGCTACTTCCCTCCATCTGTAAAGGTTAAAACCCCCCAGGAGGCTTCAGAGAAGCTCCTGATCAGCGGTGAAGTGCTCTGATGCACTGAGCTCTCCACTGGTGGAATCTGAATGATAAAGATTCCCTCAGAAATGACCTGAAATGATGGAAATCTGTGTTTTTATGAGCAATAAAAAGTTAACCGGCTGTTCTGGTGGTGTTTTTACTGCGCAGAAAGTTTGTTTGCACTGTAGAGTCAAAGCAGCAGCTCTGCTTCGCTGCAGCTGATGGAAAACTCAATCTCTGCTCTCCTGATTAACATCCTGCTTTTAAAAGGAAAACAGCTTTTATTTAAACACATGCAAATCAGGCTGTTGTTCTTTGTGCTCTAAAGCAGCAATTCTCTACAGACCATGGACCAAGGATGGAGCTGAGGATCCAGCAACCTCCCAGACAACAGAACTGATGGAGGTCAAACACATTTCAGCCTGAATGGGAATCTCAGCAAACATGGCCGACAATCTAAAAGATGAGAAAAAGTTCATTTAATAAATAAATGTATGAAAACCTGTCAGAAAGAAACGTTTAACAGAAAACAAAAGACATTTAGTTTTACTGGAACTAGAACCATCAACCTGCTGGACCCATGAGGTGGATCCACCTTCTAGATCCCATAGATCTAACATGAGTCTCATGGTTCCAGATGACCTGTAATATTCTGCTGGAGCTGCTGAACGGCGGCAGAATGAGGCCAGTCCTGGTGTCAGAATGTTCTTTCTAATTCTTATTGTTCGTTCTCCACTGCTTCTCTGCTCCTGCCTGGTTGGATCCTTCTCAGCAGGAACTCCTGTTAGCAGGAGCAGGAGGTCAGATCAGAGGAGGCAGATTGACCTGAACCCAAAACAACATCCATGACATCAATGCCATGGTGGTGGCAGCATCATGCTGTGGTGAGACTCGAGTGGAGATTCACCTTCTAGCAGGAAATCCAACATGGACGCCAAGGTAGAGGCAGAACGGTTTATATCAGACTGGGGACAGAATGGCCTAGTCAAAGTACAGACCTGAATCCAAACTATGGAAAGATCTAGAAACTGATGTTTCCAGATGTTTTCCATCCAACCCAACTGAGCTGCAGCTGAAGTCAGAGGTGGTTCTACCGGTTCTGATCCAGAACCCGCTTCATTTATAGAATCCATCAATTCACGTTGTCATAGAATAGAACATAATAGAATAGAATAGAAAAGTAGCACCCAGATTGCTGAAAGCTAAAGTATCAAACCATCTCCTCTGTCATATAAATCTCATCAGATTTTCTGGTTCTGATGTCATGATTGTAGAAATGTTGAAAAGAGTGAAAACCTTTTTATATTTTAGGGGAGCAGTGGGGAGGGGGCCCCGGGGCCTCGTCCAGCAGGGAGAAGGCAGGTCCAGGTGAGCCCGGCAGGTGTGTCAGCGATGGATGGACGTGATTTGGTCCTGAGGGACGTTTTGCATCCGCGGCTCCTGGAGGGAGGAGACGCGCTCCTCCCTGAAAGGGAGCAGGTATCAGGTGAAACACGGACGCATTAAAAGTCTGGCTTCTGGAAAAGTTCAGTCAGAAACACAAACAGCTGGTTTCACACAGAGAGGAGAGGAGAGGAGCAAACATCCAGCATGAAGGTCGAAGCCTGGGAGCTGATTTCTCTGCTTCTGCTGGGAACCAGTACCTGCTGGGAGGGCTTAGCTCAGGTAAATCGATCTATCTCTGATTCCTCCAAGAATTAATCTCAGTTACCTGCAACACTGGAAGGGTTTGATTGTGAGCAGAAAGCGGTTTATTATTTTCGTTTTTCAGATTAATGCAAATTATTGATAGATTTTAGAGGCTATCCTGAGTTACAATAATTTCAGCGGGATTAAGCTGTGGTGCTAAAACCAGTCCAACCAGTCAGAGTTCAATGGGAACATCTTGGTTGTTTTTGTAAATGCTCATCTGGAAGGATTCAAGTTTCAGGGTTAGAAAGGATTTCTAAGAGAGCTGATTGGACGGGAGGAGCATCATTTCAACTGAAAACCGAGAGACAGCAAGCGCGATTTGTGGCACTGGCAGGTCGCTCTTGAACTTCCGGTGGCAGGTCGGACTGCCACGGCGTATTACTGGCAGCTGCCAGTAGTTGTGGCAGCTGCCAGTAATACGCCGTGGCAGTCCGACCTGCCACGGCGTATTACTGGCAGCTGCCACAACTACGGAGACTGGCTGCCAGACCGGTTTAAACCGTTTCGGGGGCTGCCGGCGCCGTTTTTCGGCAAAAAACTTAGTTAACGTGACTCTATAGGTGGATTTTTTTTTTTTTATTACGATCTTATTGTTTAATAAAATGTGTCAAGCCTTTCATAAAGTCCTAGAGGTAATTCGTCTGAAAATAAGTGGGAATTGACAGCTGTCACACAGTGGCGGCTGGTGAAAAATACTTTTGGTGGGGCTGATATAGCCTAGTGTATGTCTCCAACTAATCCGGAATAAGAATTCAAATAAACAATTGGACAATACATACAATTTAACAGTAATGATTTAATTTACTATATAATAACAGTAACAGTGATGATTTGGGTCACTGTGACGGGGTTCTTTGGCCTCCAAGAATCCAGGCTCAGTCGGGTTACCGGTGTTGGTGATTTATTGAGCTCAAAAACTCAAAACAGGGTGCAAAAGAAACTAAACATATACAAGATCCTCTGGGCCTCAGCCTCCCTCCAGTTACCAGCAATGGAACAAAGAAACAGAAAACAAAAATTGCCGCTTTTCTTCCCACAGCCCTCATTAAATAGTTTAAGCCCCTCACCTCAGGCTCTCTTATTTCTGATTTCTTCTCATTAATCAGTTTTGTCCATATATTACCTCCACAAACAATTGATGTAAAACAAAACAAATAATTTTTACAACTTAATTCTTTTACACAGATTCATTGACTTATTCAATTACACCAAACGGGGTTTGAACCCAGCAAAGACGCAGCCAGACTGAAGATGACAAGTCCCCGTAGCATAAACACGTACACCCCCCCCCCCCCCCCCCCCCACACACACACGGCTAAACCCACTGAAATATTAAGTGTGCACCCTCAATACGCCAGCAGGTAACCAGGACAGCTTGTGTGTTTTAAGTTCATGGAGCTACTGGGCTCAGCGCGAGTGTATTGGTCCTCACAAACACAGTATAACAGGAATGTGTGTGTGGTGCGCAAAGTTAGAGAGGTTGTTTTAAGCGACGAGGTGGATTCGTCACAGTCACAATAACCATGACATGAAATGTTCATATCCTACAACAGGGATGTTCTTCTGGCAAACGGGTAGATAAATAAGGATCTCACCGCATTTGGTGGAAGCTGCATCTCGGTCGTTACATTCGCCATCTTCCCTCTAATCGTCTGCACCTGCGCTTGGGTTCAGAAGCCTGTTAAAGCGCAGTATTTTCAGCGCCCCAAGACCATAAAGTTCCGAGACGCTGATTGGCCATTAAATTCACCTAGCAATAGTAAATGATTGACAGATTCTCTGCAAATGTGGGGCTGTCTGATCAGCGCCCCCAGAACAGAGACGGTAGGAGTCTGTCTGTGGAAATCCACAAATTAATGACAGTAGATAGGGAAATGTAGTTTATATAATTTGTTTTGCTTATAGGTACACAGTCTAGAGAGTAAAACTGACATTTATGAGTTAATTTCTACAAATTTATTTTACGTTTCTCTCTTCTTATCAGGGAGGGCGGTGCCCCAGCGCCCCCTATGGGCCGGCCGCCACTGCTGTCACATCAGGGTGACAGTCTTCACTGACACCTGCCAGTAGTTGTGGCAGCTGCCACAACTACGGTTCACAACCAAGGTATCCGTATCGAAAGGAGAATGGTTCCCGTTTACTTGGCCAACACAAGGATAACAACGCTGTTACGATCCCGTACCTTTATAGCGCAGGAGACCGGCTGGGTTGCCAGATCACGATTAGGGCAAGTTATGAAAAAACGTAGGAGGATGTATCAAAAAGTATCCTCTGTCAAATACGTAAAAGAAAAACAACATTTATAAGTTTTAATGTATTGCTAATATTTTAAGATGAGCAATAATATCTTACTCGATCAATATTGAGTAAAATAAATGGATAAATTCCTTTTTCTGAATAAAATAAATTGTTGGACTGAGTTAACTATTACTGACTAAGTTGTTTGTAGTTGTTCTTGGCTACTAAAACCTGTAAATATATGGTCTGGCTGTTAAAACCACTTACCTGCCTTGGGTTTTCAAGGATAACAAACCAATTTCTATGCTTAGTGTATTTTGATGAAACTTTAAAATAGGGTCAGAGTTACCGCATATCTGGCAACCATTTACTGTTGATACCACAGACACGTATACGTAGACGCCCCGTCCTCAGGTGAGAGGCGTGCCGACAGAGCGGCCTTCTTAGGTCAGACCAATCCCCCCCTCTCCCACTCCGCAATAAACTAGAAATTTAAAACTTTTTTCCTGGGTTAAAACTATATGAAAATGGATATAAACAGCAAGCAAAAACATTCAAAGAAGTTATTGTTGTTGGTTTGAAAGCTCAGAATTAGATGAGAGATCGAAAAAATTAACAAAACATATGACTTTATTGAAATGTACAATTTTTAATCATGTATATGCGTAATACCATGTCTATCTTTGTTTAAGAGGCAAAAAATATATCGGCATGAAAACAGGTATTTCTTTACAAATTTATTTACACATTGTGTAAACAGCAGGGCGTCATTATTAGTCATTTAGCAATAGCCCAGAGTTTAACATTTGGCACTAGGATGTCTTCATTCCAATTCTGAAAGTGCTTGAAAAATAACAAAATTAAAATATTGTTTGTACAAGCATGTATTTTATTAGCGTCATTTATTCCCAAATTTCCTTTGAAAATGCCCTAACAGGCTATTACACGTTCAGATATGAAATTATAAAATACATAATTAATTTGTGATTAATCTTGCAATTAACTATCAACATTATGTGATTTATTGCAATTAAAAAATGATCTTTTTACAGCCCTAATATAAATACATGTCTTGTGTCCTTCACATTTGTTAATTTTGTTTTTATTGTAAAGAGTATTAATACGTTTTCTTCCCGAAGCGGTTAAAGTAAACTAATACCCACTCCCGAGTTCAGACAGTAGATGGCGCAAAAGCAATAATGTAACCTACT